AGGCCCACACCAAGCCAACACATGTCTGTCACAGTCTGAGAGTGCCATTTTCGGCCATGTAGAGGTTGATATTCTTTTTAAAAAAATCTCATTTGAGAGGGGGAAACCCCTCTCAACCCCTTCTCCCAACTCGAATCTACCAGCTCAAGCCCCCCCTGTCGGACAACTTAGCCCCCCCCCCCCAGAAAATATATCCTAGAGCCGCCACTGCGAAGAAGATAGGTAAGGTAAGGTTGGCGTTACAAGTTTGGAACTATACGTCCTTTGGTCAGCATCGAGAGCTAAACTGTAGTCATCAACTCTGGAAGTAGATTTCACTACTGCCCTTTAAACCATTTGATATCTGTATAGTGTCTTCAGTTTACAAAGTATTTTACTTCTCTTGATGCGCCAGTTACAAGTACGCCGCCTTTCGCGTAACTTATCGTGTTATATCTGGAAGGCCTACCACTACACAGCTGTGATTCTAAATCAGGCAAAACCAGGGTCCTAAAATAATTGACATTCGGTTTGATGCTGCCACGTTGAGTTTCATCAGTAGGCCTAGGCCTGCACGTAAACCACACTGGGTCCTTCTGCCCGCTGGAGTTGATCCTGCGAATATATTCCTTTACACCCCCTGCATCCGGTCTAAATTGGAAAATAATTAGCAAGTCTCCATGTAATTTGTACCTTTCTACCTGAGCTCCGTCTATCTCCAGCATTACCTGCTCCCCAGTTTTGGTGTTGAATACATATAATTCTGTGCAAAAAAAAAACACCAATTTAATTATAAGGGTCTTCCTTTACCCATTCATACGATGAAGAAATTAATGAATAATTTTATATAACTGAAAGATTCATTTTGATAAGTATGAAAACACCATAAGCACTTGCTATCAACATTTGTACTTAGGCATAGGAAACAATAATAAGGAAATCATAGATGATGAGAAAAAACACAGATAGAAACTCAGTATTTAAAGGATTTATCTAGAGTATCAAAGACAGAGAAATTTAACAAGAGCAAGACAAGCGAATAATAAGGAATTTTTTGAGCATAATTCCAATCCAATGCACAAAAAAGTAAAAAAAGAGTATAGCTACTCTTGGAAAAGAAGATCGCAGCTTAAGTAAACTGCTAGTTAACTGAATTATTTTGATAATGGTGAGTTACCCCATTTTGATAGTAAACACGTAGTGTTAATTCTCTGAAGCTGTAGAGTCAACAGAAACCAAATAATTGGTCATATGGTTTTCAAACAGTTCAATCAATCAATAAACTTTATTTATTCTCGAAATTGCAAAGTACAGTACCATATATAAAAACAATTATACACAGTACAGTAAAACATTACAAAAGACTTGTTCGATATTATAAAAAAGATCGTTTTTCAACAAGTCCGAGCGAGATAAGAATAATATAAAAGCATGCATAAAGTTAAAAGTTTTGCCTAATTTAATTTGCTTAAAAGTTTAAAAGTTTGTTTAAAATTTAAAAAAAAGTGTGTAAAATATTAGTTAGAATTTAAAAGTAGTAAATTGCATTATTATAATGGTTGCATGTGACTACTAGACATTAATTAAGGCCTAGTATTTGTTAGCTTTCCTTTGACTTTTCTTTTGAATTGATTAAATGACATAGAGGGATTTACTTCATCTCTGTTTAAATAATTATTCCACAAAACAGGGCCCTTGTAAGATATGCTGTTTCGTTTGTATTCAGTATTCGGTTTTGGAACGTACATATTAAGGTCACCATGTCGAAAATTATAATTAAGTGTGTTGTACTGTATTAAATGTGATAAATAAAGTGGTACGCGATCTTTAAGAATATTGAATACAAGAAGTAAGAGTTCCAGTTCATTTATTTTAGTTAATGATATCCAATTTGCAGAGATTAATGCTAGTTGACTGGATTCATCCCAATTTAGGTTACATGCAATCCGAGCTGCCCTGTTTTGAATTGTTTGTAACTTTTTCATCAAGGTATTTCCGCATTTCCCCAAACCAAAATACAGTATGTTATGTTAGAAATGTTCACTTATCCACGACTATTAACGTACCATATCCCCTGTCACATGAGACAGCGGGATTACTATAGAAGAAAGGAAGACGTCACATGTTACGATTTTTAAGGAAGGGTCAAAGAAAGCTGAAAGCTACAAAAATGTCTTTCTAACACCCAATCATGCAATGTGTGTACAATCTATCACCAACAGATGGTTAAAAAATGAGATGTCGACGGGTTAAAAAATTAGATGCTTCGTAATTGGTACTGGGAAGCCTGCCAGTCTATGCAATAACAACCCTCATGTAAGCACTATTATTTATATTTAAAAATAATTATAAAAAAAAATTAAATCTTGAAAAACTAAATGAATATGATTTAATTATTCTTTGTCGTTGACAAAGAATATTATTACCTTTGCAAACTGTGAATACAACGCAATCACCAAATATCCGCAAATCTAACATATCGCCATTCATAAACCTATTAGTTCCCGGATAACTTCTTGGTGCATATGACACTTGAAACACTTGAGGTTGAAGGTCATCCAAATCATAAATCACAATTGATAACCGCCCTACATACCGATATGTTAGCTGTCTAAACTGTTTATAAAAATAATTTTAACTGAATTAATCCTAGGCCTAGCAAAGACTATTGAATTTTAAAAAATTACATTTTAAAGCCAAATAGGCTTAATTCAGAAAAAAATAATCATGGGTTTTATTGTATTGAAGCTTCACATGTGTGCATGCACTGACCGAACTGCTGGCCAGAAACTAGCAGCTTTGAAGTTGAAAAAAAATAGTAAAGAAGTGGAAAATATTATCGGCCTCTTTGTCAACGACGAGAAAAGGGGAAATAAATACATCAATGAAAAAGAAAAGAAAATAAACCAAATTGTACAGATATGATAACAATCATCGGATCTATTAGTACACAGCCGTGTATTGAGTTTTCACTTTAGCTTCACCCACCAGAGCTTCACCACTCCTCATGCCTCCTTCTTTTGGCAATTTTTTCAATAAACTTACCAAACATTTGTTGTCCCAAACATTGATTGACGTCAAAAGCAATCTCTTTTGTAATTCTTCGGACATTTTACATAAATGAAAGTTGTATTCGTTCTCCTTGATTTCAAGATTATAAACTTTTATACAATCTTCACTTGCGATTACTAACTTGTTGTGCCAGATTCTGAAATACGATATCATCTGTTATTTGCAATCCCCTTTGCCATAAATTGTAATTATATTTGGTATTGTTTCTTTAATGTAAATAAAACAAAATGCTTTTACTGGCGCGTTGCAACCATACAGTATAGTTCTTATTTTACTTGTAACGCGGTATTGTTGTTACTGTTACTGTTTTTACTGGTATTGTTAATCGGTAAGTGTAAGAAAACTCTTTCTCTGTTTAATTAGGCCTATATATTTATTTATTGTTTGCAATGTGCTGAATATTAAATAATTAGTCAACCATCGTTCATAAAAAAATCTTATTCATTAAAAGATTGATATGAAAAAACAAATAAAAAAATTTCGGATGGGATAGTCCTAAAATAAAATTAATGGTACAACTACTGTAAAAATAACTAAATAAGACAAAAAAGAGAGGAAAATACAAGTATGTTATAGTTACCTCAAAACATGCTTATATCTCACATATAATGTCTTTACCAAACGAAACTCCCCATCAGAAAATACCCACCACTCGAGAGAATTATCAGTACGCGATATTATGAGGGAATGCTGTGTCAAATTTTGATGCTTTGAAAACTTGCAGAGTGGATCTGATGAAGAACAAGATAACCTCAGGTTACAAAGAAAGTAAGGTCTTTCTGGTGGTGAGTTAGGTATACCTAGTACCGTACTCAATCATCATTCAGTAATTGGGAGATACACTTTAACACTTTTCTGTAGAGTATACTGCGTTCTGGGTGTTAGACAGGGTGAGGGGATTCCATCTGACAGGAGGCCATGTCGTACCCTTTCGACTATAAGAGAGGTTTTTACACTAGGACGATTCGAACGATTTATCATGTATGCGATAAAAACATATTTTGACAAATCAAATCAGATGACGTCATAATCATGGAAAAACATTAAAATCGTAGTAGTAGCAACGAATTTATTTTTTTACCATGATTATGACGTCATCTGATTTGATTTGTTAAAATATTTTGTTATCATATACACGATAAATCGTTATCGAATCGTCCTAGTGTAAAAACCTTCCTTATTTCTTTTGTTTTCTATATGAACAATCGCTTTTTAGCTTTTTTATCGTTATCGTTGAAGTATAAACAGGCCTTTATCGGATAAGGACTATAAACCGTACGCCCAGTGTATACAATGGCTCGTGTGCACTGTAAAGAACCAGTACATACTGCCACCCAGCGGTCAACAGAACCCCCACTGGGGTCCAGGGTCGGGGCCCCGGTGGGGTTCTAGGGGGTGGAGCGTACCCCCAGGGCGTTCTGACGATCTTAGCATTTTAAATAAATATATCAGGAAAGGAATAATTAATACGGTAGATATACTGTAACTGCAGACTGTCTAGAAAGTTTTAACCCGGGAACTGTTCCCTTTTTTAGCAAAATACAATGAATTTATCCGGCAACCTGTAGAATTTTCATGAATTCAAATAATATGGCCCAAATGGTCAGTACACTAAAATCAAAGACGGATTATTTCAAATTGGTAAAAATAAACCCCCCTTCCGAGATAATGGTATAAACTTCATTAACTGCTTTTAAAATTAAGTCTCAAAGATAGTTAGTTAAATAAAAAAATAATACCTCTGATATAATGGTATAACCCATCATTGAAATTCTTACGTTTCTAAATCTAGAAAAGTAAGATTTACCTCATTTGTCTAGTTACAGAAAAGATATCTTACTTCTCTAGATCTAAAAACGTAAGATATATTTTATGTCTTACTTTTCTAGATCAAATTAAAAATAATTTTATTGCCTTACTCTGCAAGTATGGAACTATTGACGTTGATCTATTGGGAAATAATATGCCTTTTAGTGTTTGGGAATGTACGACTCGGTGACCGGTATCAATATTCCATACAAATAACTTAGCCCCACGTCCACAAATATGCTTTAGAATATACACATACGTTCCTGAAAAATAATTTAAAAAAAAATTACAATATTACAATAATTAAAAATATGCCTGTAATGCTTTTAGAAAATGTCAATAATTTTAGAACTTGTTAAGAATAGTTAACAACCTAGAGGGCACAAAAGCAATGTAGTACAACAACAAGGTAGTAGTATAAAAAGGTCTTAATCTGTTCCAAATGTTAGTTAGTGTAGTCTCCTAAGTCTGACCGAACTATAAGAAATCTAGGATATATATTGGGATCAATATTATTTTTATTGTATGTTTCCTCACTGTGTAAACTTATTGGTAGTCACGGTGTTCAGTATCATGCATACTCAACTGTAGGCTATATTAGCTTTCAAGTTAATCATTGGTGTGAGGCAAAAAATACAACTGAAGCATGTCTTAAAGATGTACAAGAAAGGTTATCACAAAATATGCTCTGCTTCAATCCTGACAAGACTGAAGTACTATGTATTCATTCCAAGGTTGCAGCTATGTCCTAACACAGCAGCCCGGCTCGTCTCCAGAACACATTACAGCTATCCTCAATCGACTTTTTTATATTTTATAAGAACACATTTTATAAGAACACTGAGGCTGAAATTACTAAAAAATTAAGAACAAAATAAGAACAAATTGTACGAAGCTGTTTAAAGGACATGATGAATTTTTACTTTATTTTCCTAACACGTACGTACGCCTTATGGGTTATTAAGGCGTACGTACGCCTTATTAAGGCGTACGTACGCCTTAATAAGGCGTACGTACGGGTTACATAAGGCGTACGTACGCCTTGTTAAGGCGTACGTACGGGTTACATAAGGCGTACGTACGCCTTATTAAGGCGTACGTACGGGTTACATAAGGCGTACGTACGCCTTATTAAGTCGTACGTAGGACTTATTAAGGCGTACGTACGCCTTATGTACAGTAACACGTACGACTTATTAAGGCGTACATACGCCTTATGTATCCCGTACTCACGCCTTAATAGTCGTACGTACGGGTTACATAAGGCGTAAGTACGCCTTACTAAGGCGTACGTACGCCTTATCAAGGCGTACGTACACCTTATGTAACCCGCACGTACGCCTTGATAAGGCGTACGTACGGGTTAGGAAAATAAAATAAAAATTCATCATGTCCCTTAAACAGCTTCGTAAAATTGAGGCTGAGGTAAAATGTCAAATGAGGTTTTTATTTATTTATTTTTTTCAAATAGGAAAACCAAAAAATTGTATCTCTACCTTTTATGTGCAATAGGTATGATTATGTAATACCCTCTATAATACAATACAGTGTACCTGTCATTTAGGGCCATTTTAACCGGGCCTTCTTTCTGGTGCCTTTTTTTCCGGGGCCTTTTTTTGGGGGCTATTTTCATCTGCACTCCAGTACAGTAGTATACTGCTGTACAATAATAATTTTCTATGCTTGAAAAGTATGTAAAGTAAAAACAAAATAAGAACATTTTGATCCTGAAATCGGATAAAAAATAAGAACAGTGAGCCTGGGCAAAATTTTACTGGTTCTTATAAAAAAAAAGTGTACATTGGTTACCGATAAACAAGCGCATCTCATTCAAGATTTTACTCCTCACATACAAGGCTCTCAACCATAATGCTCGACAATACATTGTTCAACTATTGAAGTCTCGTTCTGCAACATGTTCTCGGTCTCTGAGATAAGCCACTGATTGACGTCTATACTATCAGTTCCCGCATCACGTCTCAAGACCTACGGCGAGAGGGCGTACTCTGTAGCTGCCCCAAAGTTGTGGAATTCATTACCGGTTGATCTTCGTGAAGCAACACCTGTCTCTTATACACATCTAGATGTGTATAAGAGACAGGAGACAAGTATTTTACTTCTAGTCATGATGGTGGTTTATTATTTTAATTGTATTGTATTCTATTATTGTTTCCATCATTAAATAAATGTCACTTGAATTTTGATTTTTTTTTTCATTACCGGCTGATATTCGTGAGGCACCTTCACTTCTTGTATTCAAAAAGAATTTGAAGGCGTATCTCTTCAATCTCTCCTTTCTTTCAAACTTTCTCATGGTTAATAATTCTCATTGATCTGTCAATCTCTGTAGTTAAATTTCTGTAGTTAAGTTGTTCAGCATTTAAGTCTTTTTTCCCCTGAAAATTCGCACCTCCTTACTTGAGGTTGCGCCGCCAACTTAGCAGTGCACGGTAGGAGAGCCATAGCTTTATCCTTGGTGGAAGCCTACCGGAGCCCAGCAAACTGACGCCGGTGTACCTGTGTGTACACGGTAGTGATGGCGACGCTATCTCAAAATTGGGGGTGCGCACCCCCCTCCCCTTCGCGTTCCTTTGTCTTTGTTTCTTCTGGCTTCAAAAGAGCCTTGAGACGGCTGTCTGTGGAAGGCGCTATATAAATATATGACCACTGACCAGACCATTGACCATTTTTGCAATACTGTTTTTTCCCACAAAAATCCCAGAGTACATATCGTATGACATAAATAATCACTATCGCTGTGATGTGAGTAATAGATTAAAGTGCACTGTAATGATCACGGTATTTATTTGTGACAGCATAAATACCATCATAAAGAGAGATCCCTCTCCTAACAACGAAACCACTCATTAAGCCGGCTTTCCACTAGGCGAATTTATTCCCTCGAATCGAAAGCGTCATTCATGCGCATGCGCATTCACACTTCTATCGGACTTAAAGCTTCAGCGAAATTGGTTGTTCTCATCTAAAGCTGACGCTGTCACTGGCTGAATTTATACTCACCGATTTGTACAAGATCGCTTGATGGATCAAGCCCGGGATTATGTATATTAACGTCAGTAAGCTGGTAGGATATTCGTTTGTAAGGACTCAAGACTTGGCTTGTCCTCCAGGTCCTGTAGACGTTCTTCCACAAATCTTCGAACTCTGCGTCACCATCAACAGAATCCTTCTGCTGATAATCATCCGACAAAGGGTTGAAGCCTATGATGTCTATCAAAGAGGCTCTGTGAATGTCGCGTAAACATAAATGTCGCCATAACTGATAGTATTGCTCAAGGTGTTCAATTGTTTCTTTCCAACTATGAGATACCTGAAAAAAAGAAAGTTTTTTTTGTTTTTTTTTTGTTTTTTGTTTTTTTTTTTCAAATAGGCCTAAAAGGAATGTCTATCCATTTGCATTACTGAAAATATATTAACATAATATGAAAGTCATATAGAGGAAGTAAATTGCACATTGATTTTGACACACATGATTAGATTAGAAGGGTGGGGAATCAAGTTTATACTACTTGTCTGAATTTCATACCTACCTTACATATTTTAAAATTTTGTGTTTAATTTGATTTATCATGACCCAAAGCATAGTATAGTATTACATTGAATGTTTTCCATTGTCAATAATACAGAATAATCATAGGAGTGATGTTTTGCCCTACCTGACGTGTTATCGTACCGAATGCTGAGTACGTATCCCAAATACTAGCGAAAAAAAAATCGCAAGTGATTCGGGTGTGAATCGAGCCCACGACCTCCAGATATTTAGCCTGATGCCTTAAATCACTCCTATGATATTTTCGTCACGTAAATTCATATCTTTATAATACATTATAAGAAATTGAAACAACTTTGTGAAATCATCCCTTCTAGGATTTATTACACCATCACTAACTGCACAGTTCCGCAACCTTTTTAGCCCGCGACCCAAATCCAAATATTAACGATCAGCCGCGACCAATCGACCTCAGGCCAAATCCTAAAAAATTCTCTGCTAAACTATTAAATATTATGTTATTATTGTGGTGAGGTTTGCCTGCTTTTAGTATCTTCCTTGAGTTCAATGTTTTATTTTTCCCTACATTATTTGATTTTTTTCTTTAAAGTTAAAGAAAGGTGTCATTAAATTGTAAAAAGTATGAACATACCTAGTTATACCTTGTTAAATTGCTTCGATATTTTCTAGATTCGAGGACGTACAGTACATTTACATTTTTACCACGTGTGAGAGATATCGGTGTTTACTGTAATCTCTTACTTGATTTTTTCTTTTTTTTTTGTATTTTCATTTTATACAATTGTTCAAAAACACCTTTATACTGATAAATGACTAACACACCAAGTATTGTCTAAAACTTTATTTAAAAAGAAATTAATACAAAATTTATTGGAACATAAAGCGATTCTAAGCACGATGCTGTTATTTTATTAGCACCAAAGAAAATTCTATACAATATTTAGATTCAGTATAATTTTGTGGGGGAATTATTATTCCCCCGTTAGTGCGATGGCTTGCCCCTGAACAGAAAGGTTTAACTAATCCTACTTTGGAGCGGAGCTGATAATGCAATCCGCAAGTTGGCACACAGCAGTGGCAGGATCCAAGGGGGGAAACCCCCCTCCCCTCTGTGAAGAAAGTAACAACATTCTACTGGGTCCTGACTTAAAAAGGCATGCTAACCTCCATAGGCATATGTTGGCAGATCAGACAAAGGCTTAGCCCAACTAGTCTTCAATTAAATAAATTATACACACTGTTTTTGGTTCGACGTCGTAATAATTTAATACGAAAGTGCGTTCTTCAGGCATATCGGTTCATCGATACATGGAAGAAAAACTAAATATCTACTCAATATTGTTGGAATATAATAATATATTGCTTATGTCTCTGATTTTTTTTGTCCATGTATAGACCTAAAAAAATGAGATAAAATTACTTGACCCTTTTCAAGAGGGGGCGGGGGAGTACCTTGAATTTTGAAGAACTGAAAGGTCATTAAAAGACTCCTCAAAAGTCGGGAAAGCTCATTTCCAGCCATATAGTAATCAAAATTTTCCCGGGGGAGGACCCACGGACCCCCTTTCATTTTGGGTTTTTTATAAACATTTTGAACCCACCTCTCTCAAATCCTGGATCCGCCCCTGCACAGAGCCACTGTTTTCAGTCTTTTCTGATACTTGGACTTGAGAAATACAGTATTTGATTGCGTATAAGACGATCTGCGTATAAGAAGATTTTGAGAAAATTTTGTCGGGCGTCTTTTATTAGTAGTAAATTTCCGTGTTACGGACCATCCAAACATAATACGAACATGATTTTTAAAATCCAAAATATGATATAATACGCATATGAGACAACCCCACGTTTTTCGATCGTAATTTGCTTTTTTAAGATTCGTCTTTTATACGTGAGAATTACAGAACAATTGAAATCCATCGCTCACGTTATTGTCGTGAATGGCATTAGAAATTTTGTCGCAACCTGGCTGCCGTCTTTTTTGCTTTTATCCAAAATTTACCAATGGCTCCTGTTTAAGTTAATCAAAACAGAAATGCATTCACACGGTAAATATGTCAAGCTAAAACCTGGTCAGGTTTCCTCAAGCTTGTTTTCCACTAGACGAATTTATTCGTGCGAATTAAAGCGTCGGTTCGCTTCCTAAACTGTGATTGGTTGCGCATTTTTTCGCTTCGCAAAAACCTCGATAGGAATGTAAACACGCATGCGTATAAACCGACGCTTGAGATTCACGCGAATAAATTCGCCTAGTGGAAAACCAGCTTTAAGAATCGCTGCACTATCGCTACAGTTTTTTCTATTTTTAATTTTTTACTGCAATCGTTGGACTAGCGTAGCAGTCCCGACGCAATCGGGAAAGCTCCCCGATACGACCAACCAATCAGCATCAACATAAGCTGTGGACTAACGTGTAGCAATTTTATGGAAACAAAGCTTTACTTACATGCATCGGGATTTATGTTGTTTCATTTCTTCTTACCGTCAATTTCGTTTTTACCTGAAGTGATTGCGCGACCCATCAAAATTTCTCCTCGACCCAAACAATATTACGGTACTATAAGTAGCCTATTCAATTCAATTCAGTTTATTCAAAATAACCTCCAACGAAGAGAAGCAACGGAATACAATCAAAATAATGCAATTACGTTAAAAACCAGCTAGAATAAACAGAAATAGGCATAAAATTCGCACGTTACACTCACTAAACTTAAACACATTAAAAATACATTTACAGAATAAATTGCGAGACAAGGAAATCACATTTCAAATAGGCCGACATATACATAGGCCTATGATTAACACATACACACCCACGTACGCATATAGGGTGGGGGTGGGGTGTGTGTGTATGTATGTATGTTTAGCCTAGACATAGGCCTAAGAAATACTATAACCTGCTGAGACCAGCTATCTTCCAGGTCTATCATAGCCCGACTATGTGAGGGCGTCTATCACTGTCTAAGGTAGATCTCTATAGTTGATATTCACAATACAACGCAGCAAATCTGATTAGTATAATCAATTTAAAACGGCTTTATTTACAACGTTGCTATTTAGACACTTCTATACATAAATACATAATATACATACTGTACCAGTTTCGGCTTCTAAATATTGACATGCTTTCGCTCACGTAATTTTTTTTGTCAAAGCAGAAATCGTATACATTGTACATTACGCTGATTACTGCTTATGTCAAACTACTTCCTTGTTTTGATAGCAAATTCAGAATAATATAGAACGGCTAGGGTAAGTTTGATCACCCAGTTGGACAAAATTTGCGTAGGGTTTGATAATCCCTTTCGCGTCGAGGCGAATTCCAATGGCTGGTCGTTGAAGCGTGCGAAATGTACCATTGTAAAATAGGGGTATTTATTGGTGTGATTGTAGAGAAAGTTGTAGGTGCAGGCTAGTCATAGTACTTCAAATTAAACAAAAAGGTAATATAACTATTGTACTTCAGTAGGTATACATTTTTTTTAAATTATACAAATGTGCCTATTACAGATTCTTTTACCATGCACTTGCATGACCCATTGAAAATGGCAATATGGTCTGATTATCCAGATCTGGAAACCGGAGTTTCGCCGAGGAGAATGCGTGGGCCAAGCAGAATATATATATTCTATACTGTCATAACTACTATATTTGTTATGTAAATACATTAAAAAATATACATATACGTACATCTACACATGCATAAACTAAAAATCAAAATAATATTTCAAGAATGCAAATAACATTCTAAATTTTAACTCTAAAGCTAAGCTCCTTCTGCTCGAAAATACGGTCGAATACTCGTTTGCTATTCTAAAGCATTGGCTTTTAAACTGACTTGCTACTGGTTGATTCTTACAAAAAAATAACAAGTCCGACGTCGTTTATTAACCAATCAAATTGATTTTTACATATGTTGTAGCTAATAAATAAAGCTACATGTTGCCACAAAAATGCCGAATCAGTGGAGCTACAATATAAAAACTTCGAGCGGTTCGCCACATTTCTACTAAAACCATAGGTTTTTACAGGGAAACATTTGAAAAACCACGGTTACAAAATTAAAAAGTCCGACGAGATTTTGGCAATCTTATGGATTAAAATTAAGATTACTATAACTGATATTAAATGTGTAATAGTATAAAAAAAAAAACAATGGCGAAAGTCGGACAAGTAGAAGTAAAGTTATGAATGAGAAAATGTGCGAAAAAATAGCGAAAACAGCTGAAAATCGAAGGTTTCGAATAAAATTAAAAGAATCGCGACGATCAAAATATCCTAATGCAGAGAGAGATTTTCTATTATGTCGCAACGCAAATGCCAACAGATAGGTTGGCTGGGCTAGTTGCAGCCCAGAACCCTTTGAAGGGGACCTCAGTCCCAACACCCTGGTTGGCGCTGACAGTATGACCATGTGTAAAATGAAATTCCCAAGATTGGGTCTAAAATTAAATCTCAAGCTTTAAAAATCCCGAGATTTGCAAAATACTGGTGTACACAACTTAAGGTTCAATTAAAGGCTCTTTAAATAAATTTTATACTGAAAACAATGTCTGGATTTTTCAGGCCGATAACTCTTTTTTTTTTTTTTTTTTTTTTTTTTTTCAACTGATGAGAATTTTCTCTGGTTGGGGTAATGATGTCTTATAATTATGAATTAAAATCGTAAATAAGAAATAACAGAACAATTGTTATTTTACACAGAAAGTATTCCAGTAGCATATAAAACTCATACTTTTATAGAAAAACAGGCGTTATGATTTTAATTTCTATTTTCTTGAGGTGTAAGCTTTTAAATTTGTAGCTAAGACACACTGTTCGGAAAGCTAAGTATGAGACGGTACGGATTCCATGGCAATCCTAACTGCAATATTCTTGCTCTACTTTTTCATAATCTCCTAGTCTGAACCATATATCATATCTGCCAATTGAACACAAGAAGGGATTTAACTTAAAATTCACCCTATTTTACAAAAGGAATGGCTCTAAACAACAGTCTTTTCAGAAGAATTAAAAACAAAAAAACAAAACAAAAGCAAAAACTACTATACCAATAAGCTTCCAATTTATTTTGAACAATTGAACAGCGTAGGCCTATTCACAACTGTCTAGCCTGTGGTGTTCATTGTCAATTCATAACAGGCATGATAGAAACAAAATTCCACTTCTGATTTAATAAAAAGTTAACAAACAATTCCAAGCGGCAGTCAGTGGGAGCTGATGTTTCTTTTTTATAGTAATTTCGTCGCTCACATCACGAACTAACACAATCAAATTAAATTGGGTTAGTTCGTGAAATCAAAAAAGCGCGTCAAAATACGCGCTGTTGTTGTTAAGGACTTTTTGTGTGGTAAAGACATAGAGCTATTAAACAACTAGAGTGCTGACAAGATGGCGGAGCAATGCAGAGTTGTGTATGTGTACCATCCAAGATGGCTGCCGTAGGAAAGCGCCACCTTCAGGCTTAGTATACATATTATTACCATAAATAAGCCCTCTGACTGAATATTATTTCATTAATGGTAATTAGTATTGATAATGACAAATTATTAAACTGTCGTAGCCAAAAAGAGGCCAATTAGAGCATCTTATTCAAATATTAAAAAGAATTAAAATCGTGTACATTACACCCATACACCGCCACGCTCGAGTTTCAAAATACGGGTAACTAGCTGTACTGAACTTTCTGTGTAAATTGAGGGCGCCATTGAAAATGATAGTGCTCAGGCGAAATTTGATTGGCTGAATCTATGGCAGCCATCTTTGATGGTACACACACACAGCTCTGCGTATTTCGAACATCGAATACATTGCTGTTAGCTCTCTAGTATTCTTATTATATCTCTATGGGTAAAGAATACAATATTGCTTGACAACCAATACTCGCTCGTTTTGACGCGCTACTGTGATTTCACGAACTAACACAATCTACTTTGATTGTGTTAGTTCAACAAATTTTGTTGGTCAAAAACTATGCAGGCGTTGTGGTGACAAATCGGTTATTTACTCTTTGAGTACCAGTAACAATTTAATATTACCACTTTCTCTTTGAGACGTTTAAGCCTTTGGTCCCGCGTGCATTTATGTGCACATTAAAGAACGCAGTACACTCTTCGGAAATGAGTAGGGATTGTATCCCGGTGTACTGTCCAATCACCACCAGAAGTAGCCCACTAGAAATTAAGTCTTCCCCTAGACTTTCGTCTAGAATCAATCCAATCCAATCCAAAGACCGCGTGCTGCTTTGAAGCACAGTGCATCACTGATGTAGCTTACTGTTAAATAGCTTTTAATTTCATTAAACCAAGTAATATGTTAAATTAAGAATTCTTCATTTTTTATCTTTTCGGATTTTTAAATCTTATTTAATAAAAATACCTGATAGGCCTACTATAATATAATTGTTATATGATTATATATAATAGGCCTACATATATGATATATGATTATATTATAATTATGAATAAATTACTTTTTAAGCAAAAGAGAAATTTATACTGATTTTTTATATAAATTATTATTATTGATTTTCTTTGATTGCTAGTATTTTAAAACGATTTAATAAGCTGTTTTTGTAAATGTTATCTCTGCACAAGCATAGTTTGATAATACCATCATTTTTATTTCACTCCCAATTTCACTGTAAATCTCTTTTGGTAATTTGTGTACATGCGTATTTTGTTGGTTTTTCTATTAAGAATAATTGGGATTTTTAAATAATTATAATTATGATAGGCGAAATTTTATTTCCGTAGAAATGGAATATTTCCGTAGTATATTTATTTTCATTTCCATACGTCCGTAACTGGGCCAAATAGAAAATGATAGTAACTACAGACAATCCTTAATATTTGAGAAATTTGTCATAAACCATATCTGATACCTGCATAGTATGTCCATGTACCTATTAATAAGAATAATCCCAGATAAGAAAGTATAATACATACTCCAAGTATTGAAATACACGCCATCGTGTTGGGATTCAATATTTCGACATTAATTATGTCATCATCAGGAATAGGTTTGTGCAACAGCATTCCTGATGATGACATAATTAATGTCGAAATATTGAATCCCAACACGATGGCGTGTATTTCAATACTTGGAGTATGTATTATACTTTCTTATCTGAGATTAATCAGTGGACCTTTCGGTTTTTAAGAATAATCCCAGTGAGGTATGTAAATGCATGGTATTGAGACTTAGATGTGTCAAGTGATTTCCATAGCAGAGGACCGTAGTGCATTACTGAATTTCTAGTCAAGGTTCTATATGTACATATCAATAATGTACTTGTTTGCGTTTAGTGCTATACAGAAGTTATGTAGTTCATTATATTTTGTAAAGTATCCTTTAAAAGTATTTGGGAGTTTATTGTTTGTGTATAGATACATGAAAATGGCAGATTGAAATTTATTTATGTCAAAATGTTTAGTGTTAAATTCGTAGAAGACAGGATTGGAATGGGGAAGGTAAATTTGAAAAGGAGCAAATACGAAGGGCCTTTTTTGAAATAAATGTTTTTTTTCAGAGACATGGTCAATAGTTTGTTGCTTCGAATCTGAGCAACTGCTAATGCAATGTTACAATAGGAAGATGTGGGAGAACTAGAAATGCTTCTTTCACGCTGCCAGTAAAAACATTGGCTCCCGGCCAGTTTGCTGCCTTCTATAATTTTCTGATTTTTTAAAAGTTGAATTATCGATTGAACCATGTGTGTGTTCAGTACTGTACTTTGTATTCGAATTAATGTACAGTATTAAGATGGTATTATTATGAATACCCTGTAACTTTATAATTTTATTGAAGATTCTATTTGTCGACAGCATCTTGAATGATCAAGAAAAAAAGTAACTGATGATGATTGAATATAAGTAGAATTATGACCTTACTCCCCATCAGATTATAACAAAAAAGTGACATTGATGCAATTAAATAAAGTACAAAAGTCAATCCACTACAGTTCCTATAGTGTACAAGAAAATTAGAATTTATTTATACAATGTAACAATTATTTGAAAACTTGCACCTTTTCCCCGTGTGATATGATCCACATTATGAACAATTTACAATGGGTAAAGGCAAGCGGTAGACAACGTGAAAAGGCAAAAGAAAACGTGCATCTATCTACAATACAACATAAGTAACAGCTTCTTTAATTTAAAATTATCAGGCACAAACCTATTACCATCAGATACCAGCCGTATCCAGTGTTTTGTTTATAAGTGAATGTTAAGCTGGGCATTCACTGGGTTGTGCAAACGAATGATGAAAAAATCAAGCGCCGCTTCCTGTGAGCGCCAGACGCAACATCGTCTGCCGATTTTAAATTAAAAACGGATCGTTATTAAAAGCATTGAGCACGCATGCAACATCGCGTTTTCCATAGAATCGTGTTGGCTGACGAGCATTGGTTGGGTGCAGTGAGTACCCAACTAGACTCTACAAAATGAACATCGATTCAAGAGGTTGCCAAAAGCCAGTTCACGATAGTACAAATTCAGCCGTAATAATGAATGAAAACTCAGACGGATGTATTTTTTTTTTCTTTTTGTGGTTTTGTCACTCATAAATTTATTATAATGTTTTGTAACGGTTGCCTTTATTTAACTAATGCAGTCAAGCTACAAGTAGTAAGACTTAAAAAAAAGGTTTATATTTAAAATATTTATAGCAAAGAAATAATAATAAAACAAGCACCATAGTGATATTAGTAGCAATGTCAAGAAGATACTGTTAACAACTATGGTAAACTAACTGTGCTTGATGTTAGGGAGCTTTTGATGTGTGTGATGATGCTGAATATTAGTAGACATACTGGTCCAGAAAACATTCATGAGATGGAGTTATTCCCTTTAGAATTACTATACTTTCCCCATAACTTATAATAAAAGTCTTTAATCTGTGAATCATTTTTTTCGTTTCAAAAACCTCGGGAATAACCATTCTGTACCCATCATCATCACGGATGTTGTCTCCTATATCTTCTTCATCTTCAATACTGCTCTGCTGAGAATCATACTCGCACCAAACAGGGTCTTTACATCTGGTTTTGTTGATCCGACACAGACTGACCTTATCAAGCAAGTTTTGGCTTACAATTAGCAAGTCTCCATGTAACTTGTATCTTGAGTGAGAAACTCCGTTAACTTTTACATGTAGCTGTTCTCCTGTTTTGGTGTTGAAGACATAAAGTTTATTTCTCTGGGTTGAAAAGTGATTTACTGTAAACAGGAAGAAACATTGGAATAAGCTGATAAGTCAGATGAAGCCGAATGGGCTTAATGTCAAGAAGTCATTGTCAAATCCCTTTTAAAATCCCACCTCTTTCGTCTACAACATTAACCTTTAAAAGAAGCTCATCTCTAAAAGATAGCATGGGTGCTTTTTTTTCTAGATGGTACATCACATACACTACATGAATTTCAAAGCAACAAAATAAATTAAAAACATGCTTTGTTTATACAATAGTTTAGGTGATTTAATGCTGGTTAATACACTCCGTGATACAGATTGATGTTACAGTGGCCCTATTTATTGGTTAATATAGTAATTCCCAAAATTTACAGGATTCATTTTGAAAAGAAACCCACAACAACCAACAAACGTTGGCTCGAAAAAGCCTATCCAAAGTTCTCCTTAAAAAAAAACAAAAAAAAAAAAAAAAAACCCAGGGCCAGATTTCATTCGCATTGAACATAATGACTTGATATTCTGTAGTTTTTATTACCTTCACCAATTGAGTTTAAAATAAAATCTCCAAATAGTCGTAGAGTACCAAAATAAGAAACATTGGCAAGTCCTGTTACTATTAACTGCTGTTGGAAGTTATCCAATCCATATATGGCAATTGAGTAAGGTTCCGACTTCACACTAAACTGTTGATAAAAAATGGACAAGTAAGATTTAATATACTTTTATAGATTTACCCATATCTGGCACGATGATGTACATATTTCATTAAACTCTTTGATAAAAAATCCACACAATAAATTTTTATATGAAAAGAAATGTGGTTTATTTGCCCATACATGGGCATGCTAATGCAAAATTATATTCATATGTGAGCAACCCTTGTGGCTTCACACGTACGGCTCCACTTCTTGAGATTTCACACACTATGCTCATAGTCGTAATCAAGGGTGAGTGGAACCAGCTGGCCTGGATCACCTGTATATGTATTTTTCAAAATATATAAAATTAGGAAAAAAAAAAAAAAAAAAAATTGTATTCAAATTCAAATCTTGAGTTAGATTCACACCGAATCTGTATTCAGTTGGTATGGCTAATGAAATGAAAAAATAAAATCGAATCAGTAGTAAAGAATAGAGGCGCATCGAAAACGTTCTACAAACCGAATTCAGATTTGGTGTGATTCTACCTTTAGTGTGCAATTTCCAGCCATTTTAGTGGTGCCATAACTATAAAATTTCACACCTCACCCCCAACCATGGTGGCGCTGAGGTGGTCTACACCCTCCATCTGTAAAGATACTAGTAGGCATCTTGTACAGGGACACATTCTTTTTTCGCCTGCCAGACTCTTTACTGTGAAGTGAAGAAAATGCCTCCCAGGGTCCCCTTTATTTTTAATTCCTGGATCTGCCGCTAATTTTTCACCCTTGTGGCTCCACCCACACAAGGCTCTATCCCTTCCTTGTTTGGCAAATCTTTTTTCAATCAACATTAATATTTAGAGTACCAAGCATTTGTTGTTCCAAACGTTCATTGAAGTAACATTCAGATTACTGGGTAACTCCTCAGATACATTTCTTGCACAGAAATTACATTCATTCTGTCTTCTTTCAAGGATAAAAACTTTCATAATACGTTTGTATGAATAAGTCACTAATGTGTTGTGCCAAACTCTGAAATAAAAAAAAACACCAATTATTGACAATACCAAAGTAATGTTTACTTATCGGCAAATGCGGGGGAGAGTAGGTGAATAAATATGATAGGATGACTTTCACTCATTACTTTTAATACAAATTTTGATATTACTGTTGCATTTATACAATGCACAATGTCAGAGTTTTTTTTGTGCAACTTTTAACTCATAACTCATTCGGTATTGAATAAATTTACAGGCAACAGATTGTTGAATTTTTAGTTCTTTCTAGGACAGTTCTTAGCTGGGCATATGGCATCATATTTTGTAGGTTTATTTTAGAAGACTGTTCATTTTTCATTTTATAGCTTATGATGCAATATCTTAACATGCAGCTTATTCGATTTTCTCTTACAAGTAAATTTCCAGTTACCTATGTGTCTACTGAACACCCTCCCCCCCCCCACCCCACGGAACAGTAGTCACAAAGAAATGAGAAAATGGAAATACTAATCAGGACGTTTGGACCAAAAATTTACGGTAAACCATGCTGTCATTGCCATTGTCATAATCATCACCACCATCTTCATAATTATTACTGATATTAGTATAAAATAAAAATTTAATAAATAGAGCGAAATATTTTATTGTACCCCATTATTCCGTGATCATCGTCTGGTAACATATTAGCCAGATGGAATTCCCCATTTATAAATATCCACCACTGGATATTACCAACCCCTAATATGATGAGGGAATGCTGCGTCAAATCTTGATGCTGGGAAAACTTGCAAAGTGGATCTAAAAAAGAAACATCATAGTGGACCATGACATAAAATTTCAGTATGATTACGTTTTATGACATTTTATCAGATTGAAAAATGGTTAAAACTTAAAAAGGTGCCGGGAACTGATGGGGGAAGTGGTGGAACCCATGGTAAGAGCTGGTAAAACATTAGCGTCGAACAGACCTGGGCCCCTAGTTGTCTGACGTCACATTCAGGTCATCGGATCAAAAATAAAATAATTTTCTTATCCAAATAACATTATTTTGATTGCCAATCCCTATTATTATGGTCTAAAAGCACAATTTGGAACATACTAAGCCATAAAAACTCTCCCTATGAACCCTAACAGGGATTCTTTTCATTTCGGGACCCAGACGGAGGCTCTAGTTGGCCCCACAGTTTGTATATACAGACTGTCGGACATGTCACACCCCTTGTTGGCGAATTTCTGGAGATACAATGTGGAAGTGGAGGGGAGTGGGCATCATCTTGATAATTACATGAGGGGATATAGCTCATAAAATAAGGTGATTTTTAACTACTTGAGCATAATTTATTTTTGCCTCAAACATTTCCAAGGGGGAGAGGGGTTGGCACAAGCTATATTGTTGGGGGGGGGGAGCATGCATCCCTTTCCCCTGTGCATCTCCTAGATATGTCACTGAAGAGCACCTCTACTTATAGGGCCAAAAAATGAAAGCCTTACTCTGTAAGTGTGCAAACATCTTTGAGCATGAATATGTTCTGTTTACATCGCATCTTAGGTCTTGGGAATACAGGACTTGTTCACTTGTATCAATATTCCATACCGATAATCGTGTATTACATACAGTATGTGCAATCATATACACGTAAGCTCCTGCGGGGAAAAAAAAATAACAGAAACAAAACACAAAATAAAAATAACACTGTTGATGAGAATTTAAAATAAATTGATCAAGAAATAATAAACATTTTACCCTCCAATTTGAGATCCTTTTAATTCCAAGGTCCCTCAAATTTCAGACCAATTGAGTGGCTGAGTGGTAAGACAGGGGTGACGCTAGCTACAGCCTTAACATCGGCGCTGGTTCCAGCCGCTCCTTATCCATGGTTCGTTTGGTAGAACCAAGTTTTCTTAGATAAGGACTTAAAATGGAGGTTCAGTGTATACATCTGGCTTGAGTGCTCTCTTTAAAGAACCCATTGCATCTTTCAAGAAGAGTAGGGGGTTACCCCGATTTCAGCTCCTGTCGTTGTGGAATGATGTAAACATGAGGCTACTATGAAGCGCCTCTTTATGGCTATTGGTAGTCACGGACCACGCCCATACGCAATTCAGCACAATTCAGTTATTCTACCTTTACCGCCGCATTTTCCAAGTACTAACAATTTTTAATCTTTTAACGCACAGCTAACACCCTCTAATTTGATACCAAATGCAAAGATCACACCCCAAATTTTCAGGTCCCAAAGGTGATTATAGTGGGTTAACCGTACTAATAACGATAAAATAAGATTAAAATAACAACATTATTAATAAAAATATAATAATACTGTAATATTGGCAACAACAATATCCAAATTGTAATCCTTGGTGGAATGATCTACTGAAATAAGAACATTCTCACCTATTAGCAAAATACTTGGTCCGTTGGAAAACCCAGTCAACTTAAAAGATGATTTTTTACAATGATTCAAGAATTGGCCTGCTCTCCAGCTCCTGTACACGTTTTTCCACAAATCTTCAAATTCTCCATCATCGCCACAAGGTAAATCCTCCTGACAGTCATCCGACAAGGGGTTGAAGCCTACGATGTCAATTAGAGAGGCCCTGTGTATGTCTTGCAAACATAAATGCCGCCATAGCCTGTTGTACCTTTCAAGGTGTTCAATTGTTTCTTTCCATAGACGGCAAACCTAAAAAGAATCTTTTCATATTTAGGCTGCAAAAATACATCTTGTATAGAAATTGAAAAAAGATGGAAACACTTGGTACACATTAATCAGGTGCACAGATTCCAATTCCAAGGTAGTGTTCTCTCAATTTCTCCCAAGCTTTTACTGGTAAATTTATCCAAATGCTGACAACCGCACAGCATGAGGCGTTAGCTTTTTCGGGTGGTGTTAAACAACATAAAAAAAACAACACACATAAATCACAGCCTAGTCCTAGACTGGAATACTGTTTATTTATATAGGATAACAACAAAAATACTGTATATTAGTAAGCATCATTCCAGTCTACGACTAGGCTATCACTTGTACATGGTGTTTTTCATGTCAATTTTGCCACCCAAAAGATGTAGAGTAACACCTCGTGCTTTTAGGCATACCATACTTCCAAAACATTTACACTGCTTGAAATTTAAACATTTATTTTGGTATATACTGTTAAGAATTATTTTTACCAACATGAAGTTGATCCTGAAAATATTTTTTACAATTTTTAACATTACTGACAGTATTCAGCAATTTCATCATTTCTTGTTTGTGAAATTATATTCATAAATTGTATAGTGTGACATCATCACTTTTATAATTATTACATCATTATTACTAACCTCTTTTGCTCTCAAAACACTTCTAGCATCAAGGTGCCAAATGACATTTTCTACAATTTCTGGTAAATTTCCAAAAATATTGGCAAAATCATTTCCCCCTCTCTCCATTTCACTACTAAATTCTTTTATCTAATGACATGAAGAAAACATAAACAGATAATAATAATAATAATAATAATAAGATTTATAAAGTGTACAAATCCATCGCAGTATTGCTCATAATGGTACTCAAACAATAAAAGAAGGCTAATGAGAAGTTTTGATTACATATAGGTACAATATAAAGAAACTTAATAGTCATGCTGGGCAATAAAAAAAAAAAAGAATGATCATTGATCGAGATATAAATAAAAAATGACCAGAACTCCCATTAGCTTGTAAAAGCATTTTAAGCCAAGCCAATAAATTAACATTTTTATCAATTCCTCCTTTTCATTTATACAATCGTTTTTATTTATTTATTATAAGCCTTATCCCAGCCCAGGTGAAGCAGGGTGAATTATGACCAACTTTTACACGCCTATCTAGCCCGTTGCTCTGTGTGAGTGTGAGTTCGCTGCTATAGACAGTCACTAAGGTAGGTAGGCTGAATTCGATCCAACTCGGCCACAAGTCAACTCGGCCACAGTCAATCGGCCACAAGTCAACTCGGCCACAAGTCAACTCGGCCACAAGTTAACTCGGCCACAAGCCAACTCGGCCACAAAAAGTTTGGCTACAGTCAACTCGGCCACAAGTCAACTCGGCCACAAGTCATCTCGGCCACAAGTCATTTACTGGTACTACATTGTACTAATTGTTATTATTATTGCTGTTATTATTGTTGTCATTGTTGTTATTATTATTATTCTTTTTATTACCGTTAGTTTTAATATTAATTATTAGTCTTAGCATTAACATATATTGTTCAAATTTTTGCTGATATTATTATTATTACATATATATATATATATATATATATAGTACATATAGTTTGTTTTGGTTTTGGGAACTTTGTGAAAATGACTTTTAGCTGTTTGACCTCAATTAGGTCAGCGATTGTCAGGTACGTGTGTATAGTTGTTCGGAATGATCGTGTGTCGTGTCGTGTCATCAAGCGAGACTTTCGGGAAGTAAGTAGTGTGCATTTCACATGTAAGTATATATAATTGAATGATGAATTATTATATAGAATGATAGTATATTGCTATGAGGTATAATAGGACATTTTTTTGGTTCCCTAGGCATCATAATGAGCCTGCACCAAACAAGGCTAAGCCCAGTACTACTACTACCAGTAGTAGTAGTAGGGCCCCTAGAGCCGGGATGGACTAGCCAAGCAAGTAGGTCTAGGTTCTAGGCTAGACGTAGGGCCTAGACCTGTATGCAGTAGTAAGCCTACTAGCAGTAGTAGTACAAATTCTCCAATGTACTTTTGATGCAAGCCCTTTTAAAACAGTATCTAGGTATATAAATTGTGCTAGTAGGAATATATGAATCCTCAGTTGTTTAGTGCAAGTTTTATCATGATAGATTAAACCAAAGACTGAGCTAAAGCAAGGTCTGTCAAGAGTTTGGTCCTGAGGATTCCTGCCTTGCTTGATATGGTTTAATTACATCACTCTTATTACTGAGTGGAACCCTTATGCCTATTTTTCGATGACTGTATTATAGAAAAATACTCTACTCTTTGCCTAGCTAATGATGTGCTAATCTAGTACATTTTGTAGTGTGCTACAGTAATAACACCACTCACACTGTGGGCGACCTACAATGCTAATGCTAGTCTTCAATGTGTGATGGTGACGTAATGCCATTTACCGTACCTTTAGCAAATGGAAGTAGAAATACGGTACCGTATTTCTACCCACAGCGTTTTTTAATATAGTCCTCCACCGCCATGGGTATGTTTTATATTCATGAATTTAATTTTTATAACTTGTTCTTACCCAGTGATGTGTGTGACATAAGTATCATTTCAGTTATATTATAAGTATAATAAAAATGCTAATGATAACTAATAATAATGATAATAGTTAAATATGAGGTGCTGATGAACATTTTATCCACCAGAAACTCAAAACTTATGTTTACTCTTAACTCCTGTTTCGCTATCTTAATGTTAAGGTTAGGGTTGTATTTTGATATATTATAATATTAGACTGATGAGACTTAATAATTTTGGAGTCTTATTTATACTTTTATTGATCCTTACATTTCCCAGATTCAGTATCAGCCAAGGTCCAAGGGGCTTGTCAACAGAAAAAACACAGTGTCCAGCTAAATGAAGAACTTGCATTTTTGCCTGCTTGCCTTGATTGGCATTCTTCACGTGGCATATTTACAGGCTGAGCTAGTCCCACAGGAACCTGCAGAGCCTCAGAAAGTTGAAAATGGAGGTGACAATATTGAGGTGAGCAGAATGTAACACAGAATATTGTTCCATCGACCTTACATAAATCCAAGGTGTTGATTGGTGGAGCTGGCTTGACCCTAACCTTAAATTCCTGTTTTGCTCTCTTAATATGTGTCGGAAAAATATCCATAGTGAATAAAATTCCTGTAATGTGTACTATTTATAGCCAGACAGTTCTCAAATACCCAGATGATTTTTTTTTTAAATTCTCTCTCTTGTTTTTATGAGATGTAAGTTTAGCTTTTAAAATTTTAGACTTGATGTGCCTCTTGGAGGTCAATTTCATCATTTTTTAAGAATACTAAATTGCGTAAGTTCAAAATATAGAATCAACAATGGCTTGTATCACTTTTTTCGTAGTTTGTTTCATACTATCTTATGCATAAATCTGGTTTCCTTAAAATTGCTGCATTGTTGTTACATTGTTTTTAGTGCGATCGTACTGCTTAGTAATCCCGAAACAATCGGGAAGACCCCTAGATTCGATCGACCAATCAGCATCACCTAAATCTGTCGGCGATAACATGGAGCTATTGGATGGAAACCAAGCTTTAAACCATTGTATCTGTTTTAGGGTTTTTATTTCCAGTACTTAAGTAGTACTTTAAATTCATTAATTTGTCTTCATTTCTAAAGTTTCAAGACGAAGACAGAAAAGATGAAACCAAAAAGACATCAATTACAGCAAGCGGTCTTGGATTTGTTCACGGCTTTCTTGCCTCGCTCTCTGTGATCATTGTCAGCGAGCTCGGTGACAAGACGTTCTTCATCGCAGCCATCATGGCCATGAGACACCCAAGATTAACAATTTTTACTGGCGCACTTCTAGCACTTGCAATTATGACCATTTTATCAGGTAGGTAGTGTCATTTGTAGTTGGTTTTTTGGCTTTTCATATCTGTTTTTTTTTTGTATTTTGGTCCTGGTTTCCATATTCTTCACTTTCATCATCATCATCATCATCATCATATTATCATCGTCATCATCATCATTATCATCATAATCTGAATATAAATAGCAAATCCTTGTGAATGAGAGTGGTCATGCCACTTTGGTTATTCTTTGTTTCTAATTTGGACTTTCTTGCAATTTGTTCTGGTTATTTTATTATGTACTTCATTTGATTACCAAAAGGAATAAAAAATAAGATAAAAATATAAATATAATCATCATTATTATTTATCATCATCTTTATCATTTTCATTATCGTCTTCACCATCAACACCATCTCCATCATCATTTTTTATCATCATTATCATCAACTCTTCATTATAATCTTGAGTCATTATATTAAGATACGATACAGTATAAAATGCAGCTATGATATATCATTACTTAAAATTCACTTATTGTTAGTTAAAAATGTAGAAGCATAATTTAGTACATACAAGTTGCACACAAATTGGTATTGTTGTTGCTATGTCTGCTGTTGAGTGGCTGTGAAATAAAAATAGAATTCCCTGTAATCTGTAGAATTGCTTCTTTATTATTAGCATTTCTTGGATTTGCTACTACTGTAATTCCGAGAGCATTCACCTATTACGCTTCTACGGCACTATTCGCAATATTTGGCTTGAAGATGCTTCGGGATGGTTTTAAAATGTCACACGATGAGGGACAAGAGGAGTTTGAAGAGGTTCAAGCGGATCTTAAGCGACGGGATGAAGAGGTCAGTTGCTAACCCTTTTGAACTCTTACTGTAGTAACTTCAAGCAACCACCAAAAGTCTATGTACTGAGGTGGCAGCCTATTGAGTGTGCAATATGAGGCATGCCACACCAAAAGCTGTGTAATTAGCATAGGAATGTGGCAGTATTGGTTACTTTATTAGTACAGAGAAGTAACAGTAAGGCGATTCCAGTAAATGGCCTATCATTGTAAAGCTAATAATGTGGAGAATATGAATACAGTTGAACTTGCCGAATCCAAAATGCCATTGAAATATTGGTCAAATTACAAAAAAATTGACTTACAGATTGTTAATTAATGGAAAATGCAAGAATTTGGCATGTAAAATAAGATCGACTTAGAAATTATTTGACTTAGCCACAGTCAACTTAGGCAAGTTTAACTGTATATTAAAAATCAATTACCTTTTTTTGTTATGGCAAGCCCCCATATAGATATTCATGACTCTTTTTTTCAGAATTAATATCTTTTTATATATGAAAGATATCAGATACAAGATAAATTTCATTAATCTGTTGTCAAAGACATGAAAATTGAATTGCTCAAAACAAAGAAGAACAGGGCAGAAAATAAAAATACAGATATAACAACATTTAAACTATGTATCTTTGTATAGCATCAATTATATTCTAAGACAGAAGCTTGCATTCACCCAAGTCTAAATTCTTGGCCAAACAAGCCAAAGACAAACAATTTGACTTATCGTAAACATTTTTACTTAGAGGTCTTTTTCGAAATCACAGCATCAAAATATTTTCGACCTTAATAAGAGAAAAAATAAATGGTAATGAATAATCGTAATGGATTTTTTCCCATTTTTTTTTTCTACTATAGAGAGAAAAAGAGTCCATGGCAGGGGTCACAGAAGATCCGGAGTCGGGGATTATTCGAGTGCAAGGCCCACCAAAATTTTTAGGCATTTTTTCACCAATATTTTTACAAGCATTAACGTTAACGTTTTTAGCAGAGTGGGGCGATAGATCACAGATAACAACAATCATTTTGGCAGCTAGAGAGGTAAGCTTAGAAACCTGTCAAGTTTGAGGGGTGTTGTGGTTGTGGTTACTGCCATCCAATGCCTTGTTCATGTGTTCAAACCAAATGTTTTGATTAAAGTTGAAATAACATTTGCTATTTCTTTTGCATTGACCTTCAGTTGGCTCGAAATTGATTTAAGGATTTTGAAAGTAAAAAGATCTGTAATCTAGCAAATGTATCCAATTTTTTAACCAAAATTTCTTTTTAATGAACAAGTATATGATTATGAATCTGATTTTTTTTTTTTTGTAATTGGATTTTAAGTTTTATCATATTTAATGAAAGATGGTGTATCTTTAATGTAGGCCTTTGGAAAGACAAAATGATGATCTCAAATGACCGCAATTATCATTTTATTGTGTACTTTGGGATGGGGAGGGGGAGTATAAGTGGTGGTGGTGGAGTGGGCTCAAAGAAATAAGAGTATATTGTACACTTTTGACATGATGGAAAACATCTGAGAGAGCAGCTTAGCTTAGTCTGCTAAACTGGTGTTAAGCACTGTGTGTGCGCTAAACCATGGAGATCTCTAGGTTGTTCAATTGCCATCGCTGCTCTCCTTGTGTCTCAGCTGGATGGCGGAAATGTAAGTTACGATAGTGCACCATCTTTTGGATGAGTCGTTTAAGCCGTTGGTCTTGTGTGCACGTTAAAGAACGCAGTAATATACATGTGTTTGAAAAAGAGTAGGTAATTGTCCTCCGGTGTACTGCCCAATCACCACCAGAAGGACGTCACTGGAAATAAGTCATCTTTAGACTTTAGTGGGTTATCTTTGGTATTCACACCAAGTAAGTCCATCCATTTATGACCCTATAGCTCTTTTACCCTCATCACAATATCATATTCTTTTTTATTAATCTATCAATTATCATATTTTTATTGTTGCAGGTGGTTATATTTCACTACAATAGATAGGTCATGCTATTTGCACTGCTTTTGAAGTTAAATGACTGGTCATATTTTTATGTTTGCAGAATGTATTTGGTGTTACGATAGGTGGCATCTTAGGCCATGCTATTTGCACTGCTCTTGCCGTTATAGGAGGAAGAATGATAGCACAAAGGATCTCTGTAAAAACTGGTAGGAATATTAATCTCTATCCACACTATCATATTTTATATGACAAAAAAATTGTAGTATGCCCATACTGTATGTAGTCATGATATGGCTATATATGTTATTCATCTTTGGCCATATTTAGGCATGTCATGTTTTTGTAAAATAAAATTTGATAGTCTAAACAGGACTTAAAGTTTATAATTATATTTAATTTTATATAAATTTGATTATTTATTAAGGAATATTAAATTATGATTAATTATTTAATATCAATTTAGTATTTTATATTGCATTTTTTCTGTATTTTATCTATATTTATATATTTATTATTTCCTTTAGGTTCTTGTAACACTGTCTTTTATTTGGCCGCCTTTATTAATTACATAAATATTTACAGCAAATCAAAAATTCTGCAGCTTGCATATTATGCTTCCTCACTCCAAGGCAGCATAATCAAGACTGTACTCCTATTCTAAAAATTATCATTTATATTAATTATTAATACTTATATATTATATAATATTTCTAAATAATAAATACTATTATTATTATATTTATTATTTATATTGTAGTATTATTAATATTTATTAAATATATTTGTTTCAGTTACTCTTATAGGAGGCGTTGTCTTCTTAGTATTTGCACTGTCAGCACTTTTCTTCAATCCTGATGATTAGATCTAAGGAAATGTTACTACGTAACCTTTGAACTTCTCAACACCTGTGGCCATCTGAAATTGGGTTGAGAAAACAAATATATATATATATACGTTCCACAATGACTTTTATAAATTTAAGCAAGGTTGGTGTTATAATGGTAAATGACACCTGAATTTAGCAGATAGGGTATAAAAATTGAGACTGAGGTGCCAAGCTTGATTAGCTCTAGCTATACCTTGGTCACCTTTTGTATTCATGAAAACACATGCCGGGGTGGCACCAACAGGGGTCCACAGGGTGTGGAGAGCAACACCTGTATCTTGTAGGTGTGGTGATCAACACCTGTATCCTGCAGGTGTGGTCATCAACACCTGCATCTTGCAGGTGAGGTGAGCAACACCTGTATCTTGCAGGTGCGATGAACAACACCTGTATCTTGCAGGTGTAGTGAGTAACACCTGTATCTTGCAGGTGTGGTTAACACACCTGTATCCTGCAGATGTGGTGAGAAACACCTGTATTTTGCAGCTGTGCCTCTGCATATTCCATTGTGCACAAATCATTTTCATATTAATTTATATATGTAATGTAAATTACTTAGATATAATTAAAATGTGTACATATATCACAGTTTAAATGGTTGCAAAATCCCCATATGTTAATTTTAAAATATATGGTACAATATATTTTTTTTAACTTTCATTATATGGCCTAATACAAGGTTAGTTAATCCATAGAGAAAATCCATTTTCTCTATGGTTAATCATTAATGGCTGGTGGTAAAATATGGAAATTTTACCACTTATTCTTTCATCCAATCATGCACATGCATAATTGTCCAGTACTCAGGGATCTTAAGTCTCCTACAAGTTGCGGGATTCTTGTGGAAATCGGGAGGGAAGTGGGCTCCAACGCTCCTGTAAGCAAGAGGTGGTCCAGTCCTGTCCGATGGAGGCGCCAAACGCCTGTTCGACTAGGGACACCCGAGTACTTCAAAAAATAATTTTCATTGAAATGATATTTTAGAATATCTCAAAGGATTTATGACCATTTTCAATTATTTAAAATTTGATGAGCATTAAAATAGAGAAAGAAATTAAATTTTGATACCGAAATAGAGAGAAAATCTAAGAGAAGAAATATAAAATTAAAAGTCTATGACAATAGTGTAAAAGTCTATGACAATACTTTCTTTAACTAAAAATTTTTTGCAACTAAGATGTTTGATTTATTATAATTTTCTGTTTAAATATGGGGCTTGCCATCCCATAATATTATAGCTAATTGTTAAACTGAGTAATTAGCATATGAATGTGACAGTATTGTATACTTTAGTACAGAGAAGCTGTAATACTTTTACTCATAACTTTGGCAATAGAAAGTCGATTCTAGTAAATGACCCATCATTTTTAAGCTTATAATTTGGAGAATAACAATTTATTAAAAAGTTAATTTTAATTGTCACTGATGTTTTGGGATGGCAGACCTCATACATATGGTTTATAATAAAAATGTTAGTCACTGACTTCACAAACTTGATGCAAAATTGCATGGATCAGAATGTAATGCAACAAGTATTTAGAGGACATGTCTATGGTGGTACATGCACTGATTCTTGCATTCTTTTTAATGTCAGTGACATTATATTTACTGTGTATTCCATCAAGGATTTAGAAATGTACAGTTAAAAATTCTTGATTCTAGTGGGATTATGTCATATACTCCTGGAAAATTATCCCTGGCAAGTACATTATCTCCCAGATAAACAACCCTAGGACAAAGCAGGGGTGGCACCAGTAGGTCCCCAACAGGGGGGCCCAGTGTCCCTGACGAAGGCAAAGTGGGCATGGTTGAGCTGTGATTAAAAGGTCCTGAAAGTGGTCCTGCGGGCGAAGCCCTTGAAAATATCGACAATTTCATAAATTTTAGAGTCTACTAATAAGTAAAAAATACATATAATATTTTTTTCTCCCCGACGAATTGTGCTTTTTCTCCCTGACGGAGGGGGGGGGCAGCTCTCCCCGACGGGGGTCCTGGCCCACCCCCTGCTGGCGCCACCCCTGGGACAAAGCACCTCAGGAAATATACTCTTGGACATACTGTATTTACTAACACCCCTCCCTCCCCTCCCCCCCCCTTTTTCAATTTTGTCCAGCCCAAATGCTAATATAAGCACTCCAGGGTGCAAGATCAGATCATCGTTATTCTGTACTTGGGAAGTGTGGATATAACGGCTTTTTATGAGGTAATGTATAGATTTAATTATCTGGGGGTATTTCTATTAATAATTGTCCAGGTGTTTATTTCATTTGGTGGGAGGGAGGGGGTGTTAGTACAATAATAATATTCTCATTAGGTTATGACTGAATTTTGAGTATTCCTAATATCATGAAATATTACAAATATATTTTAGAATACAGGTAGTTTGTAATTAAAACAATATTATTGCCATGTGAAAGTTCACAGAGTAGTGACTTGTAATTATATTACAATTTCTTTTTTTTTTTAAAGCACTTGCGCTGTGTTTAATTGCAACAAAAACGTACAATACTGTAAATAATCTAAATACTGTACTGACTTTAATTTATATGAAAGAGACACTTACTTGAGAACGGTTCTCATTAAAAATTATTTCAGTGAAATGTTTATTTAAAGTAGAATATATCTAATAGTTCACAGTGCATATATTTTTGTGCTGCTTTTACGATAGCAGTGTTGGCGACAGCTGGGGGCATAGGACAGTCCTGGACCCTGTGTCGTCTGTAATTCCTAATATTGTTGTCTAAAAGCACATTTTGGGCCATACTAAGCCATAACTGTTCTCCCTGTGAATCCTATAAGGGAGTTTTTATTCCAGGATGTTGAATGAAGCTTGTCGACCCTTGGCTCGGACTCCTCCGTCGGAGAAGTTGTACCCTTGGCGCTTATTGGATATAAGGTTCATACAGTATTCATGTGTTAAGCTCTGTCTGCACTATACAATTTGTTTTGACAACAAACAGTTGTATGCCCATATATAGTCATGATGTGCCTATATATGGTCATGATGTGATGTCATCATGACATATTTAGGCATGTCACATATTTTTGTCAAAATGTGTGGACAGGCCTTAAGTTGGTCTTATTTTCTGATTTATATTCTCTGTTCACACTATTAAGTATTACGTGACAGTTCTGTGTGACATGCCCATATATGGGATTGATTGATGATGCCATAATACACCCAAATATGGACATATTACAGTTATTTGTCACATAAAAATTAATATTGTTTTAAAGCTGCTCTAATGCTGTCTGCTCAATGGGTGGTGCCAGGAATTGCCTGAGAGTGGAAGGGGGTGGTTTAATGTCCCGACAATAATGATGTGGGAGTAGTCAGGCGTCGCTCAAAAATCCCTCGAAAGTGATCCAGAGTGTATCCCCCGGGAACTGACAATTTAGTGGTTTCAAAAAGCTTATTTAATGACTTTAGAGTCTACTAATAAGTAACATATATAATTTTTTTCTTCCTGACGAAGTGTGTTTTTATCCTTGAATGGGGGCCATGGCCTATGTCCCCCACTGGCGCCAACTCTGTGTCTGCCTGAGGTATGCCCTTTATTGATGAACCATGTAACGTAAAGTTGGTAATGTGTGAGGCTTTGAGCAATAGTGTGAAGAGTGTTCATTGAGATAGATTGATAAAATCTTCAAAATACTGATCAGAAATTGTACTGTAAATATGCAAATTAGTACATATAGATATTACAGGTGTAATATGTGTATTGTTTAAATGAGTAATATGGATGCGTTTATATGCTGAATAAAAGACAACATGGAATGAAAATATTTATATTTAAGAAGCATATTTTTAAACCATTCTAATGTGTTTCTCTTGGAACTGTTATAATTATTAATATTATCATATCATCATTTATCATTATAATCATCATTTAAACAATTATTGCATTTACAATGTGATAAATTTTATTTTCAAAAATACAAACAAAATTTGGTTCCATTTGGTTTTTACAATCACATACAAAATGCAACCAATGCAATTTAGACAAATAAGAATAAGACACAGAAAGGAGCCCCTGCACCCCTTCCCCACACACATATACTATGGACCAATCAGTGTGATAATCAGGTTGAGCTCTAGATCAGTGTGTTTTATCCAAGTTCCATGCTTTGATATACTGTAATCAGGATCTTTTGACTGCGACTTCATAACACATTCATAAGCTTTTTTTTTTTCTTAAAGTCTGCATCATCATCATCATCATCATCGTCGTCGTCAAATCATTTCTTGGATTCTAAAAACAAATGAACACGCACAAATTTAACATAAAAAAACTGCATTTACAAAAAACGCTATTAGCAGAACTATTAAATGTTACTCATCAATACAAACAGTTGACAAAATTAATATCTTCATGAATTTTTGAGGACAACAGCTCCCTCTAGAGTCAAACTTCGTTGTAAACTTGGGAGGTTGGTGAAAAAAGTTTAATATTGTGTAAATAAGTCAACTTTGTTCTAAAAAATAAACATTCTGAGATATTTGTTGTAACTTATATTGTAGAATCATATATATACATGTGATGTAATAGTTAAATCTAATAAACTAAAATTCCTAATACATTTAAATTATTTTCTGGAATTAGTAGTACAGTACTGTTAGTTCTGATTCTTTGATTTAGGGAAGGGGAGATGCATTGTTTGCTTAGTACATGTCATTGTCTATTTTAGTTCTTGTGTACTAATATTCTTTTTAAAAAGCAACGGGAGACAATAATGTATTTTGCCTTCAACAAATAGAAGGGAACAATTATCTAAAATTGTACTGTACATAGGTAGGCCTAAAAATGACCATCATTAAAAATAGTTTCAAGCCCAAGGTTATGTCTGGTCTTTAAACCTTATCCTATAAAACTGAATGAAGCTCCAGTCGATGCACATGTTTTCCTCTTAAAGTGTTAAACTTGCATATATTTTTCTTTGTGTAGAACAATAGATATATTCTTTCCTACCTCTTACACTACACCTTCAACAAAATGATGCTCCTTAGTAGTAAATTAATTTGGTTGTCTTCCATTCTACATTAGTATCGTCTCCTCAGTGTTAATCTCGGAAGATGTGTGCAATAGATATACCAGCACAAGACCATTCTTCAAAATAAATCGTCTCCATACCTGTTCCCTTTAAAGTTCAGCCACGACATTACTTGGTTAACTTCACAAATGTTTAGGCCTAATATTCCAGATGAATGTTCGTACCCAATAGCAAAATATCTCTATTAAGAAAGTGAGAGAGTATTTGTTATTTAGGTTTCTACAAGAGAAAAAGATTTTAACTTTTGTTTAAGTGAAAAGTGAAGCTGCTAGCAATTCTGAAAGGTATTTAAAAGAAGAAAGACTAAACGAAAACTTACCTGTTTGATGTTTGACCTTTATTTTACGAGGTAGGTGGAGTGGAACGATCAACTTAACGAAATAAAATACAGAATTAATTTCATTTTCAGACTTGAAAACGAACGGAGGAAAAGTAACAGAAACCCAGGCATAAAACTTGAGTAGGTGGGTTCGTCAAGTCCGAATTCAGTAAAAAATCATGAACAAATCTCTGCCTTGCAAGAGGTAGTTACTATAATGACCGGAAGTGTGATCTGAAGAGATGAGACTAGATTTAAATGACGCTCATAGATTTCCTGATTGGTAAAGATAGTTTGTTCCAGATTTTGGGTGCCGCAACAAGCAATGTTCTAAAACTCCAATTTTTGTGATGGTGTTTTTTTAGCAGGAGACAACCGGTTGACTACAAGGCACGAGATGGTTTATATGCCGGCAGAAGATTTGAGAGGTAAGTTGGAACTAGATTATGTAGTTAAGGACATTCTTGTAAATTATCCTTTGAGCTACCAGACCGGAAGCCAGTGTAATTTCTCAAGAATATGAGTGATGTGTTTTTTCTTCATCATATAAGCCTTGCGGCTACATTTTGTATACGTTGATGTTTGTTTATCTGTTTTTTGCTAATTTTATGCAGACAATTAAGTATTACCGTTGTCAAGTCTTGAAATGACATGTGCGTGGGCAAAAAGTTGTGCTTTCTAATATGGCCTAGTTTGCGTATTGCAAGGAGAACGGAGCTGCTTGAGATCTGAGTAATAATATTGATCCATTTGAAAGTAATCATTAAAATATGGCTTACAGGTTTCGCACGCAGACGGTGGCGGATACAACATTATAGCAGTAATTTCACTATTCCCTGATTATAGGTACTAACTCTGATGTGACTTAAGCGTGACCACGGTGAAAAAATCAATTGTGCTATTGGCTGGAGTGAAATCTGTCTCTTATACACATCTAGATGTGTATAAGAGACAGNNNTATTATATATTTATTTATATATTTATTTTTATATACTTATATGTATATATATATTTATATATATTTATATATATTCTGTATTATTATTTTATACTGTAATTATTTATATATTTGTTTGTATATTGATTTGCATATTTATTTATATATATTTATAACTTATTTATTATTTATGTATTTAGATATATTTATATGTTTATATATTTATTTATATAATTATTTTATTTTTTTATATATTTATTTATATATATATATATTTATATATATAATATGTTCATATATTTATTTATATATTTATACATATATATTCATTTGTATATTTATTTATATATTTATTTATATATATATATATGTTCATATATTTTTTATATATTTATATATATATATATTTATATATATTTATATATGTCAAACTCAAAGAGCTCAATCACCAAGCGCATAGAGGCTTTTTCGCATGATGCGCTCTACAAATCCAACTATTATTATTATTATTATTATTATTATTATTATTATTATTATTATTATTATTATTATTATTATATAAATATTTATATATTTATTTTTATGTTTTTGTATATTTATTTATATATTTATGTATTTATACATTTTATATATTTCTTTGTTTCTGTATTTAATTGTATATTTATTTATACTTCATATATATTTATTTGCATATTCATTTATATATTTATATGTTTATAAAATTATTTATATATTTATATTTTATTTAAAACATTTTTGTTTCATTAATTATCAGATACTTTGGTCTCCTATACTCATACAAGGGAGTAATATCCTAGGTATTATTATAGTGCTAAATATGTAATGGGGATAATAATATGGTGACTTACTTGTAGCATTCAGAACTTTGAAACACTAGTATGTATCTGATCGAAAACTTGCAATGGTGGCTTGCATGGGCGGATATTATTGATCATGGGGTGGGGAAGAAGCATGTTCTCCCTCCCACATTTTATGATGGATGGTACCCCACTTTTTGACCACAATATAATTTCATGTCAACAAAAATGCCTGAAAATTGTTGAAATGAATGCATTATGACCGGTAAGGGCGTTTGCAGCAGTGCCGTTAAAATGATTAGCTTACTGTAATAATTTTGTAAAATACGGTATGGTGTTCATGCCATGGACCAAATGTTATTAAAAGTTTCTGATAAAAACATCACGCGGAAGGCGTTGGAGCTTCATTTTGGCTATGGTGATAATTATGAGTAGGACTAATCTGTTGCACAGGCTTGGCTTGCGCATTGGCTCACATGACTAGCTGGCTCGCACTTTGTAACGACCCTGGGTAGGCCCGTATGGACATGTAGCTCTGACGATTAATGTCGTTAAAAACATACTTATTTTATATACGGTAGGCAATACAAATTTCTGAAAATATTTTGAGCCACTCCGTAATTTCTTTTCTTTTTCTTCCTTCTATCTTTACTTCACTGTTAAATGTCATACTTTTTGTATTTATGGTATTGTTTTTATCGTTACATATACATAACCAATATATTTTTTAATAAATTACATAATTCCACTACTATTATATATTACACATGAAAGTTTATGTAATGCCTAATTAACGATTTAAAATAAATAAATATTATTGTAGTATTGATACTATGTACACGTTTTAGTTATTGCTATTTATTCGTTAACGTTATTATATTTATATGTAACTTTAATGTATCATTTATGTATGAATTACTATGTTCAGGTCAAATTAATCTTACCTATTAAAATTGTATATTTAAATAATATAGTAATAGGCATAGCACCCAACTGTTTACAAAAACGTAATGCAATAATAGCAAATTGACTACTATTTTATATTTCCGGAAAATATTTCAGCCGCTCGAAACTCTTTTATTTTCTTATTCTTCCTTTATTCTTTCACAATTTTGCTTTTATTCATATTTTTCATAATTTTATACACACACATAGTCACTTGTTTAGGCCTGGGCTAGACCTCGGATATGCCTATTACTAGGCCTATATTATTTAAATATACAATTCAAAGAATAAAGGAAGAGGGAAGAAAAGGAAAGAGATTTGGAGTGCCTGATGTGTTGTGATGACAATTTGGTCAACTCCAAGCCGTAACATTTTATAAAGGTAAAGGTAGGAAAAGCGAGGAGAATAACCCATAACTTGCAGCGTCATTGTGCTGAATTGCGTATGGGCGTGGTCCGTGACTACCTAGCAGCCGTAAAGAGGCGCTTCTTGGTAGATACATGTTCACATCATTCCACAATGTGTATAAGAGACAGTCATTCCACAACGACAGGGGCTGAAATGAACCATAACATCGGGGTAACCCCCTACTCTTCCGAAAGATGCAATGGGTTCTTTAAAGTGCACACGAGCCAGATGTATACACTGGACCTCCAGTTTAAGTCCTCATCCGAGAAGACTTGGTTCTACCAACCGAACCATGGGCGAAGAGCGGCTGGAACCAGCGCCGATGTTAAAGGCTGTAGCTAGCGGCGCCCCTGCCTTACCGCTCGGCCACTCGACTTACAGTTGATTGTAATTTTACATTTATAGGCTTACCTTTAAATATTTTCAAAATTAGTCTTATCATATTTATTACTGAAAATTAAGGTTTTCCACAAATAAATTAAAAGTACATAGGCAATACAAAGATAAGCGCATGGTGGGTAGGCATATATGTTTAATTATATAAGCATCAATGTATATTAATTAAAAATAATTGAGAAAAAGTGGTCCGGCCATAGCCGGTGTGGTTCCCACGGCCCTAATAACTCGATTCAGTGGCGTATTTAGGGGATGAGTTGGAGAAGGTGGCGTAATACACTGAATACCGAAAATTTAAGGAAGTAGGCCTATGTTATGTCATTGCGTTATTTCAAGACACCATGAATGCACTGTATCATACTTAACTTAGGCCTATCATTTGGTATGTTGTGCCCGAGAAAGAGAAGATGGCAGCAGTCATTGGTTTTAATTTTGAGTTGTATATTCAGCGTTGCTTGTACTGAAATAATTCATCCTACAGATGTAGTCGTATTTGAGGGCCAGAATGCCTTCTTTGAGTATTCCTCACCGGTCCAGGCTTCTTCGTGGGCCTGGTACAGGACGCGGCATGTTGAAGCAGCGGCTTTGTTCAATGACGGAAAATACGTTATATTTGTTAACGGCATGCGTACGGCGAGTAATTTGACAGTCTTAAATGTGACTAGGGCTGACGATCAGACAAAATATCATTACGAACGAGATGGTTTATCTTCTAATTCGGCAACCCTTACGGTCATTACACCTCTTGATCCTACAGATGTAGTCGTATTTGAGGGCCAGAATGCCTTCTTTGAGTATTCCTCACCGGTCCAGGCTTCTTCATGGGCCTGGTACAGGACGCGGCATCGTGAAGCATCGCGTGTGTCAAATGACGGAAAATACGTTATATTTGTTAACGGCATGCGTACGGCGAGTAATTTGACAGTCTTAAATGTGACAAGGGCTGACGATCAGACAAAATATCATTGTGAACGAGATCATTTTTCTTCTATTTCGGCAAGCCTTACAGTCATTACACCTCTTGATACGGGTTATCCAAAATGTACTATTACTAACACTATAGATAACATACATGTTGGAGAAATTGTGGAGATCGTGTGCACTGCAATCGGTGGTATACCAAGACCATCTTTACATTGGTTAAAAAACAATAGCAAACTTAAGGAAACCGACGATTTTACCCCACTCAATAGTAGTGCTACTCACATAGACGTGATATCAATTTCATTGTCAAATGAGGATAATGGAGTCGAATTCAAATGTAAAGCTGATGGAATATCTGTAGTTGGAAACCAGTCTTGCTCTGTTGTGCCTTTAAGCATCCAACCTAATGTAAGTATAATCGTAAATAAAATGTCATATGATGCTGGAGACTCATTAAACATTACCTGTTCCGGTGAGGGTATTCCACTTATTTCGGAATATAACTGGTTTTTTAACAACAAGCACTTGACGTCATCTGAATCAATGTTTAATATTATTGAAAATGGTACGATTTTAGAGATTTTAGAACTTCAAACTGAACACTTAGATGCTGAAATAAGATGCAAAGTCAGTATACCATCTGGATTAAGTGCCAATAAAAGCATCACCCTTTCTTTCACCAGTCACGATGCAGCAACTGGTGACTTGATAATTTACATAGTAAGCGGATCTGTATTAGGCCTACTTATTTTACTAGGCCTACTTGTAGTTTGTATCAAAACGAAGAAAAATCAAGAAAAAAAGAGCAAAGTGAAGACATCATATTATGCCAATCACAACGTATCGTTGAACAAGGTTGAATTAATTGAAATGAATAACGACTTGTACAGCAATTGTGAGCCTCAACCAGAACATCCTGTGCCCATGCTCGGAAGTAAAAGTGTCGAAAATTCCATATATTCCGATGTGACAGACATCAAACAAAATTAAGGTTAAAGTCCCAAAGAAACATATTCAATGCAAAATAAAAGATATCGACAAGACAGAATACTATTGTCCACTAGGTCTATTTACGACCTTTATCCTGAACCAAAATGTAAGAATTTAAGGAAGTATAACCTTGATACACAATCAATTGATGGAATTGCTAATGCAAAACCAATAAATGAAAAGCTGAACCCAGATACACAATCTGTTGATAGAATAGCTGATTTTGGAGATCTATAAAACACTGACAATCAATTCATCAGTCTCTTGAAAAAATGTTTTGGAATCTTCTAAAAACGCACGTCCTCAAAACGATCGGAATCAGTTGATCTTATACAGAAAGAAACTTATAACCTCGTCAACTGAACATTTACCACAACTTTACACTAAGTCGGATAGAACATACAAGGAGGCGTCTGAAGCTAGACTATACCTACCACATGCCCTGGCAGCCATCAAATAGAAAGCAATAACCTTTCTTTCACAATGGGATTGTGGACGAGGGTTATTTTTGTTCATACATACTTTTCTATTTATACTTTTATAGTCAAAAGAGAGGATTGACAGTTAATTTTTTTCATATGTGCATTTTATATCTTTTTTTATGCTGAAAGTGGTGTGGTATGACGAGAAGAGTACAGTAGACGGTTGTGTAACGTTATGAAGTTTGTTAAGGTATTGTATTGATTGTGTGGATACTGAAAGTGGTGTGGTATGATGTAAAGATGTAGACGGTTATGCAATGTTATGAAGTGAGAAGCTGGTAGAAAAATTATGCAATGTTAGGTGGTAGGATGATGGGAGAGAAAAGGGAGTTAGTGGTGGTGGAACTGCACTGAGAGAAAGTCAGAAATGTTAGATGACTGTTTGTATGCCCCGTGTGGACTGAATGGAAATTGTAGTAGCACTGATAAAGTATGGGCCTGGTAAAGCATCCTGTGTGGATCATTATTATACAGGGAATATTATGCATACTACCAATGTGTGTGTCCCGCTACAAAAGTTATCCTGTGTGGATTAAGTTCATGGCTACCCTGTGTGGATCCGAAATAAATGTAGTACCTGTATCCTGTGTGAATCAAAAGAATGAGTGCAAAATCCTATGTGAATAACAAAAAATGAATATACTTAAATTTAGGGGCTGAATTTTGTATTGCAAGTAATCAGCCGATGCAAGCTTGATTTTGGTGTTGTGATGGCAATTTGGCCAACTCAAACACGTAATATTTTATAAGATAATAGTTATTTGTAAGTTTATATTTATAAACCTACCTCTAACTATTTTCAAAATTAGTCTTTATCTTTATTACTGATAATTAAGTTTTGCCAAAAAAAGTTAGAATGTACATTACAATACAAATACAGGCGCATGGTAGTTTTTTGTTTAAATATTTAAGTATCAGCATAATATTGATTAAGAATAATAGAATCGAGAAAAAAATGGTCCGGCCACAGCAGGTGCGGTTTCGACGGCCCTGATAACTCAATTCAGTGGTCTATCTAGGGGCTGTGTGCGTTTAGTACGCCACCCAAAAATACCCATTCCCCTTCACTTAATCATCAATCACCCCACACCCACATGCCCTTCGCTGTCCCCATCAGCCCCTCTCCATTTCAAGACTTCTCTGAGCTGTGCCAATGAATCTATTCTGTGATCTTCTGCCATGGTTGTACAATTAATATTTATTCATGTTTTAATGGCTTAGTAAAAAACTTGCAAACCTTCATCAAACCTTTCATTTTGAAAAGACACACAAAATACAGACTGGGTGCGTCATGCATTGAGTATGTATCATTGTGTAGGTCATACTTCTCATATGAATTAAATAGGCCTAAATGTACCGCATAAAATATAAACATTTCGCCTACAAGTACAACACGGCTGTATTTCCTTGTGAGACACTACTGTACTAAATACCGAAACGGTAAGGCAACCTGTTATGACATTGGGTTATTTTCAAGACACTATGATCATACTTTACTTATCATTTGGTCTGTAGTGCCTCAGCAAGAAAAGATGGCTGCAGTCATTGGTTCCGATTTTTAGTTGTACAGTATATTCAGCGTTTGTTGTAATGAATATATTGGTCATAGATGTATCCATATTTAAGGGACAGATTAGAGGAGATTTAATGGCGTAAAGGCTTGCAAAACTTCATTAAACCTTTCATTTTGAAAAACATGCACAGCATAAAGATTGAGTGCGTCATGCATGGTGTAATTCTCCAATGAATTAAATCATTGTACCGTATAAAATATAAACATTACGCCTACATGAACAACACAACTGTATTTCCTTGTAAGATGCTACTGTACTGAATACCGAAACGTTAAGACAGTACGTTATGATATTGGGTTAGTTCAAGACACCATGCACTGTATCATACTTAACTTAGGCCTATCATTTGGTCTGTTGTGCTCGAGAAAGAGAAGATGGCAGCAGTCATTGGTTTTGATTTTAAGTTGTATATTCAGCGTTGCTTGTACTGAAATAATTCATCCTACAGATGTAGTCGTATTTGAGGGCCAGAATGCCTTCTTTGAGTATTCGTCACCGGTCCAGGCTTCTTCATGGGCCTGGTACAGGATGCGGCATGGTGAAGCAGCGCGTCTGTTCAATAACGGAAAATACGTTATATTTGTTAACGGCATGCGTACGGCGAGTAATTTGACAGTCTTAAATGTGACATGGGCTGACGACCAGACACGATATTTTTTCGAACGAGGTTTTACATCTTCTTATTCGGCAACCCTTACAGTCATTACACCTCTTGATACAGATTATCCAAAATGTACCATTATTAACACTATGGATAACATACATGTTGGAGAAAATGTGGATATCGTGTGCATTGCAATCGGTGGTATACCAAGACCATCTTTACATTGGTTCAAAAACAATAGCAAACTTAAGGAAGCCGACGATTTTACGTCACAAGATAATAGTGTTACTTACCTGGACATCCTATCAATCTCACTGTCAAATGAGGATAATGGAGTCGAATTCAAATGTAAAGCTGATGGAATATCTGTAGTTGGAAACCAGTCTTGCTCTGTTGTGCCTTTAAACACCCAACCTAATGTAAGTATAATCGTAAATAAAATGTCATATGATGCTGGAAACTCAATAAACATTACCTGTTTAGGTGAGGGTATTCCACGTATTTCGGAATATAACTGGTTCTTTAACAATAAGCACGTGACGTCATCTCAATCAATGTTCAATATCATTGAAAATGGTACGATTTTAGAGATTTTAGAACTTCAAACTGAACACTTAAATGCTGAAATAAGATGCAAAGTCAGTATACCATCTGGATTAAGTGCCAATAAAAGCATCACTCTTTCTTTTACCAGCCACGATGAAGCAACTGGTGACTTGATAATTTACATAGTAAGCGGAGCTGTATTAGGCCTACTTATTTTACTAGGCCTATTTGTAGTTTGTATCAAAACGAAAATTAAGAGGAGTCAAGAAAAAAAGTGCAAAGTGACATCACATTATGCCAATCACAACGTATCGTTGAACCAGGCTGAATTTATTGAAATGAATAACGACTTGTACAGCAATAGTGAGCCTCAACCAAAACATCCTGCCAATGCACGGAAGTAAAAGTGTCGAAAATTTCATATATTCCGATGTAACAGACATCAAACAAAATTAAGTCTTAAGCCCCAAAGAAACATATTCAATGGAAAATAATAGATAGCGACCAGACAGAATATACCATTGACTACTAGATCTATTGACGACCTTTATTGGTCTATTGTAAAGACTAATATGTGTTTAAATTCAGTATTATAATGAGTAATGCTCCCATCATAGAGTTTCATGTTCCGATTGACGTCCGGGGACTGAATGTCCCGATTCTCTAGTAACGTATATATCAATGATGTTTGGACTTAATCGAGTTATTGCATCGCACATGGAATTGTTTATTTTGTTGGATACTAGATCTATTGACGACCTTTATCCTGAGCCAAAATGTAAGAATTTAAGGAAGTATAACCTTGATACACAATCAATTGATGGAATTGCTAATGCAAAACCAATAAATGAAAAGCAGAACCCAGATACACAATCTGTTGATGGAATAGCTGATTTTGGAGACCTGTAAAACACTGACAAAACACTGACAATCAATCATTGTATAGACAGTGTTAACAGTATGGTATTTTCATGATGTACATCTGGTGAAATTGGTGACAACTCATTTGATATGAGATAAAAAAAAATGCTAACAAAAAATGCTAACAAACATGTTATAATGAAAAGGAATATGTATAAGATGTGATTTCATAACCTCCAAGATGCATGATACCTCACAAATCTATACTGATATTGAAATTTCATTTAAAGTAAACCACAACTTTAACTTACTTTGCTACGTTTCAGTATACATAAATAGAAACCAAATAAAGATATTTGAACCATACAAATCTAAAAAAGAAAAAGAATATTAGGCCTATATCTAAATAAAAGTGGCGATGATCACTAAGAGTCGAAATTTATGCTTTTAATATATAAAATTCTATTTCATTATTACACCATTCCAGAGAACAAGGTTTTTGCAATTTTTTAAATAAAATTTTATTTCAATGTTTTTATGCATAGTGTTAACTTAAGTGAACAATCCTTGTGTTTTGCAATGGTTATTACGAGATATATATCTCTCAGGATTCTCCTGTTGGTTTTCTCATATTTGGATTAGTTAAACTAGCTTTATAGTAACTAAATGAACAAGTGTTGTATTGCCCATATGATATGTTTTTACATTAGGTACAGTGACGACAACGAAGAAAACAAAAATATAAGGTGAATACAATATACAAAATATTAAACCAAGATTTATATATGCCTTATGATATATATTTTATATGTATAGTGCGAACTATCTTAGGCCATGGAGGTATAACAATTTTATACCTCCATGCTTAGAAACACTTCTTGTGTGGGTGCTATAATCGTTCATATTGGATGTTTTACAGGATTCGTTACACCAGGAAACAGTTTACACTTTTGAGGTTTTGTTTGCATTGACTCTTGATTTCAGACGGAACGCAGAATACAATTAATAATATTGTCGTTTGACTTGGGGGTATTTTTGATGAGGTTTAGGTCTGATAATAATCTAAAGTATTATTCGGTCAGTGAGCACGTACGTTATGGCTACACCACAGACAATACTGGTATATGTTCGTCAGAATGTTTACATTGTGCAACAAACATTTAAGTAGGGTAAATGTTAAGCAGTGGTGGCCGCAGCCCCACTTCCCC